CTCAAAACAGAACTTTCTGTTGTTTTTTTTCAATAGGATTTCAATTTTCAATCAAAAAAACCTCATGAAAGATGTCAATCAAAAGCAGGTGCCAAACTTTTTTGGCGCGATCGGCTCTTATTTACGAGGAATAAAATTATGTTTTTTTTTTCAGTATGAAACGCCAGTAGAAAAAATCTTGTATACAACACGTAACGAAACGATGTCTTTTAGTCACTCTACGTGTTGTCCAACTCGGCTACGCCTCGTTGGACAATTTTCACGTCGCGTGCCTAAAAGACACTCATTTCGTAACTTGTTGTATAAATAGCTATTTCCGACAATAAAGTATATTTTGATTGATTGATTGATTGAGTTATTTAGATATGTTTGTGGCTCCAACACGTTCACAGTACCATTTGATAATACTTTCTGTACTAAAACTATGCTTTCCTTACTACTAATACAGTTACTATTACAGTTAAGGATTGACTTCTGAGATTCCATGTTACCACATATCGAAGGTGAAAGTAGCGGTTCGTCTGAGGTTTTCACAAAAATTAGTGGCTCAACCTTGTTGTAATGGTGTCAGTTTTTGGAAGGGTTTATTAGAATCAGAATCAGAATCGTTTATTGGTGCTTAAAAATACACAGTACGGTGTTTACACAAGTCAAAATAATCAAATACAATTTAGTAATCTAAAATTACAATTTCATTAAAAAATTAGACTAACTATCTATTTCACATGATTTTAAATATCTGCTTTACAAAAATATAAAAGTTATGTTTAAAAATTCCAACAACAATTACAAATTTACTGTCACTCACTAATACAACAATTATCAGGACAAGGACATTTAAAAGTTTGGAATCAATAAATAAAATTAAAAAAAAAAAAAAAGCATATAGCAATGACTAGAGACAATTTTTGGTTGGTGCAACTGTAAAGAACAATAATTGATATAATAATAAATATGAAAAATAATTTATTTGTTTGTTTTAAATAATGTTTGTGCCTGTCCAGCTGAGTGTGGAATTATAAAATTCATCTAGACTGTAAAACGCCTTAATTATGAGAAAATCTTTAATTTTTTTCTTAAATTCGGAATTATTTAGTTGTATTACATGCTCTGGTAGTTTGTTAAAAAGTTTTACAGCATGATATCCAGGTCCACCCTGACATCTCTGTAAACGATGGTAGATGGGTCTTAAGTTATTTTTGTTTCTCATGTCATGGCTGTGAAAATCACCATTACACATAAATGAATCATAATGGTCCCTAACATAAACCAGATTTTGCAGGATATACTCACAGGGCAATGTCAAAATTCCGTTGTCAATAAAAGCCTGCTTGCAGTCATCTCGATAGCCCAAACCAGCCACTATTCTAACAGCCCTTCTCTGCACAGAGAAAACCCTCTGTGCTCCATTTGCATGACCCCATATTAGCAAAGCATAACCTACATGTGAGTGTAGCAAAGAAAAGTATGTTTGTTTTGTAACTCTAGATGAGACACATCTCGCCAAATTTCTTAATAAAAAAGTGTTTTTGCAAAGCTTATTTGAAATTATTTCAGTGTGTGCATCCCAAAGAAGTTTTTGGTCAAGATGCACTCCTAAGAATTTTACACTGTTGGTCATGGGTTCTATATTTTTTAGAGAAAAAGTATAGTTTTGGGTTTTAGATTCATTCAAAAAGAGTTTGTTAGCAGCAAACCATTGCCTAGCCCTCAACTGTGCCTCCCCCGACATACAGACAGCTGTTGGTAGATCTGGATGCTGAACTTGACCTGTGGTATCGTCCGCAAATTTTACATACTTTTCGAACTCCGCTATTTTTGGTAGATCATTAATATAGATTAGGAATAGAATAGGACCCACAATTGAGCCCTGTGGTACGCCTATGTTTATATCTCGTTCGCTCGCATTAATGTCATTATAGTTAACAATCTGAGTTCGTTTAGTCAGATAGGATTTTATTAGATCCACACTGTCGTTTGAAAATTTGTAAAAAGGCAGTTTTTTAAGCAGGATATCGTGCGAGACGCAGTCAAAGGCCTTGCTCAGGTCACAGAAGGTGGTAACTGTGTGTTGAGAGCTCTCAAAACCTTCCATTATACCTTCTACCAATTTTAAAATTGCTAAAGTTGTATTCTTGCCCCTCCTAAAGCCAAACTGACTATTACTAAGTAGGTCATTTTGCTCTAGGTAACTCGATATTTGTATAGCTATGCATTTTTCAAGAATCTTCGATAAAACTGGCAGGAGTGAGATCGGTCTGTAGTTGCCTGGATCATTTGGATCTCCTTTTTTAAATATTGGAATATATGATCTTACTCCACAAACTTCAATACATTTTTCCACACTCAGCTCCCTTACATCTGTCAACTCTTTATAACTACTGCCCTTTTCAAGTAAGACTGCTGTTCCTCCTCTTGTATACATTTTCCGGCAGAATGATGCTGCCACTTCCAAGTTGCCAATCCTCAGAGAGTTTATTTCATCATCCTTCAAAAAATGCTCAGTTACACACATTATACCAATGGCTTTATCGACGATAAATGCTTCCAGTTCATCTGTGATGTCTCGGATGGATTGGGTATTAAGGTGTAGCACAGAGAGTTTCTCCTCACTACTTGTAGAGTCTGGTATGGCTCTATTGTTGGCTAATTTGCCCGTGTCCTTGGGCTTCATCTGGCATGGGTACAATGGTTCACCATGATGCCTTCACCCCATATTTCTGGCACCATTATTTTACTTGTGTCTTCTTCTGCCACTTCAATTTTAAAGGAGCTTTTGTAGCTGCTGCTCTTCGTCTTCATTTTGTAGCACTTGGAATCAGCTGCAGCGCTATTTTTTATGTATTCTTGGACCTCTTCTTCAGTCACCGTAGACGAGAGTCCAGTGAGAAAAATTATTGACTCCGCCACCTGCTTACTAATTTGACAGTTTCTCATATACAGCCGCCTTTTCTTATTGATATCTAGATAATCAAAAGATGTCTCAGAAATCCTATCAATCCTATTTCTAAGTGAATGAAACTTGCTATTGAAAGTTTTAATTTTATTTACGTTTGACGATTGTGGACAAGGCAAAACCATGAAATTAGTGTGAAGACATGGCTTCAGTATATGCCAAAAATGAACTTTATTCGAGGATATTTGTCATGAAATCATTTATGACCACCATTTATTAAAACATATTAGTCATTATCACCCAGAATCCTTGTCAGATTTCTGATTTCCCAAATCTTCTATAACACTATGGAAAAACTCCCCTGGCTTTATTATTGTTTTTACCTTAAAATTATGTAAAGATGGGTAACAAGTAATAGTAGATTATACCACGAGTCAATAATGATAGCTATTATTCCCGAGGATTATTACGAACTGAGCCACGTTAGCGGCGAGGGAGTAATATTCCGAGGGAATAATAGCCATTATTGCGAGTAGTATACTCTACTTTATTTACGACAAATTAATTTATTTGAGATTTTTAATGAACAAATTTCATCCGTCTTATAATTTTCAATACAAATCCACAAGCACTACACGTTTGACACTGACACTTTTGTGGAATAATGATCATTAATCCCGCTACTCGTCATTAATCCCTGGAGGAATAACATATGTCATTATACTGCCAAAATCACAAATATAATACGCACATTATACATTAGTCGTAAATAAAAAAATTATATAAATGTCCATTTTGATCGCTTTATATCAAAATTCTTGGTTTACCTATTGACATCATCTCCTTGGGATATCCTACGTTTGACTCCTTGTGCTGCTCCAAGCTCATGTCAAAGTCCGGAGGTGGAACAAAACTCGATAACGTTTGCAAAGGTTTTATTTCTTCCTGTAAATTAGTTTCTGAGGAAGAGTTGAGATTCTGGATGTCCTTACTAAGCTGCATTTGCTTACTTTCAAGCTCTTCTAATGGATTTTTGCTTTTGTAAGATAACTTTTAAGTTTTGACTTCCAATTCTTTCTGCCATCAACTCCTTGCTATGATTTTAAAAATTGCAACTTTATGGGGCTTAATGATTATCTTGGGTCAATTCAGTGCGACGTTGTTCTTTCTTACACTAATATAAATAATGCTACATTAATGTTTTAAGAAGTATTGGCTGAGGCAATTGCATATTTGCCTACATGGTTTTCAGCAGAACTTAGGCATTTAACTTCTATGAAAAAAAAAGCTCATAAAAGCTATGAATTTACAAAAAAAAAAATAGCAGTCAGAGATTGCAACTTTCCAAAAAAAATAAATGAAGATTTTCTGGCCCCTATCTTCAACTACGGCTACTTGCTTCAACTCTCCAATCTCTCCCTTTATTACATTTAAACAATCAGAGCTCAAAATTCGGGTGGAGCGTTATCAGTGATAAAACTGACTTCAACTATCAAGAATTTGCTGTTCTAAGATCCCAGTGTAGAAAAATTCTAGTGACTGTCGATCTGAGTATACACTAATGTAGATAGCAGTTGCAAGACCAACGCCAGGTATTTTTGGAAATTTATTAGAGATCAAAGAAGTTCCTATAGTCTTTCCACAAAAATGGACTACAATAACCAAGGTTTCCAAAACTGTGTGACCAAGTAATATGTGAACAATTGACATGAGCTTGCTGGAGACTGATCGATGAGGCTTTTACAAAGGGTAAATCCACAACCTCCAACTTGTTTTAATATCAATAATTACTGTTGAAGGCGTTGGAAGACAAAAAGCGAGTTGATGCTATCTATAGAGATTCCTCCAAGGATCTTCCTTCACTGGTAGAGTACAAAAAGTTAAGATTGGCAGTTTTTTTTATTCCAGCAACCTTTGATTTACTGCAAGGCGGCCACTGTTCAACACTGCTTTTTAATATATCTATCAACGATATCACAGAATTTTCATCATCGTATACCACATTAGCTTTTGCAGATGATTTCAATTTTTTTAGAATAATAAATGATGTTTCTCATACTGTATTATTACAGGAATATTGATATAATGTTTTTATTATTTTCAGGTCTTGCACAAAATTCTAACAGGCGCAGCATCCCAATCAGGCCAGGGAGGTCTCACGCAACCCAGTTCATCAGATGATTTTGACCCCACCATAATTTCCGATGATCTATCCTATCATCGCAATACGGTAACTGAAAGATCGCCAATGAAAATCCAATCAAAAAACGTCCAGTGTCAAAAGGCAATAGCCTTGTGCGCTGAAACGGTTTTAGCGCATTTGGTCAATCATTTGGGGCACTTTCCAATGGCTATTGGGGCGGCACGATTGAGCTCTCTGGTGTCTGAACATGACGATGTGCCTAATTTGTCTTCGGACGATTTGTCGAATGTTATTTTTAACGTACCTAATATACAAGTAAATACCTGGCAATATTTAACAACTATGTTCACTAAATTATATATTTTCAGCTCTTTATCCTTACAAAAAACGTAATAGCAAGTCTTATAGAACTTCCAGCATTAGATTCGCCAGGAGGTGGAGCAACTGCAGGCTTAGTTACAGCAGATGAACAAGTGCGCGTTTTGTTAAGAGATATTTCTGGAAAATCTAGTTGGGATGCTTCTATTTTGTATCGAACTCCAGAAAATATTGAAGAAGACCAAGATGTGTTTGTACCGTTTGGTTTAGGAGAAACTACTAGCAACGCTGGACCAGAGAGCCTGCTTAGTTCAGTTTTCATACCGCAAAATTTGCCGCAGAGGGCCATGAGGCATCGGGCGCCTAATGTATTACCTGAAGTATCTAATGCTGCACAAGATTTGGATCAATTAGATGATGTAAATATATATAATTTTTTTTAATTAAGAATGTTTTTTATTGGTTATTTTTTTAGCTACTTCAATATCTTGGCCACACTAGTCCAGAATGTCTCGAATCTCCTAATGTTAAATTAAACGAACCAGCAATTCCTCCTTTATTTTTGGAACTGGAACAAGAAATTATAGCTTCAGTTATATGCCAAAGAAATGTGGAAGTGGAAGAGGCACGTTTAGTGCAACATTCTTGCTCTATGCTAGGGAAACCTGTCAGGAAGCCTTGTAGAAGAAATTCAAGAAAATTAAGTACTAGTTCGGAACACATGTCTGTCCATCAAAGTAATTTGTTTAATTTTTAATTAGTCTGAAATTCAAAATATTGATTTTTAGGTTCTTTTGGTACAATAGAACCGAATGCCTTCCAGCAATGCAGGCTACTATTTTCACAGTTGGGTTTGTCTGGCTGGGATCGTAGAAAGCAAGTGCATCTTTTAGATAAAAATGACAGATTATTGAGGGAACTTAGGAATCTGGATAATCAAAGTTGCAGAGAAACACATAAGGTAAAAAATAAGTTATGAGATTTTTTTTTCCCAACACATTTTTTTTTAGTTTGCAGTAATATACGTTGCTCCTGGACAAGAAGACAAAAATTCGATTCTTTCTAACCAAAGTGGCAGTGCCTCGTACGAACAATTTCTGGCGGCTTTAGCGTGGGAAATCGAGCTGGAATATCATACGGGATTTTTAGGCGGTTTACAAAAGCAAGGTTCAACTGGTATGACGGCGCCTTATGTGGCTACCAGCTTTTTGGAGGCGATTTTCCATGTTGCTACTAGGATGCCAGGAGATAATTCTGAGGCTGTACTTAGTAAGGTAAGATTAAGCAATACTGGTCCAATAACTTGATACTATTATAGTCATATGCCTGTTACAATTCCATTGGTTGACATTCATTAGGTCTGTTCCAACCCCCCAAGAACGGCTTTGGAACCACTCTGTATACGAATATCCAATTCTACGCACAAATTTTACGTTTTGCATACAATCCTGATGGTGAGATGTATCGTTCTCTGCCGGGTTGGAACAAAGCTAACATTAACATTAGTTGTTAGTAATATAACAGATTTAAGATATGTTCTCACAAGAGTCTTTGACAGTTTGCAACCTGTCAGAAACAATCGCTCAGCTAAGTTACTGATTTATTTTGGAACAGCGGCATTGAAAACATGTATGGCCGATGCTTTCTGACAGTTTGAAATAATTTCGTGTCCTTCTTCATATATTTTTAGTGTTTTTGTGGGTAGGTAATAGGACAAAAATTTATACTTTACATTTAGCTTGAGTGCCGCTTATTGGAGGATGCGATTTGTAGTTTTAATTTAATCTTTTTTAATTTTTAGACAAGGCATTTGGGTAACGATGAAGTTCACGTAGTGTGGTCAGAACATAACAGAGACTACCGTCGAGATATCATTCCCACTGAGTTCTGTGATATTTTAATAGTTATTTATCCTTTAGGAAACAATTTGAATAGGGTAACTGTAGACTGCAAAGCAGACGTAAGTACCTACACACATTGATCTCAAACAGAAAATATATAATTCCAATTCTTTAGGTCCCATATTTTGGTGTACTTTTCAATGAAGCTATAGTAGAGAGTAGCATATTAGCTGGGCTAGTTAGAGCTACTGCAGTTTGTGCTAGCAGAGCCAAAAGGATGACTTACCAGTTTTATCAACAGTAGTAAGTACAATTATTACTTAAAGAAACTAATCATATTCATTCATACACAGTTTCCATCATGGGTGATAAGACTTATGAGTTTTCTTTTATTACATTACAAAGAAATATTTTTTTTCAGTTACGAAGAACGAGCACGCTCTTTAGACACAGTGGTAACCAAACACAAATGTAGCGCCACTTTTGAAGAGTTCATATCAAAAGTATACAGCCCAGTGCCTACACCAAGCCCATTTTATCCCTTTGGATCTTCAACCACTTCCTGTACTGACAGCGCTTCTTGTAGCAATAATTCATCTATGTTGGCCGCCGCTTTATTGGATTCGTCACATGGACATTCACATAAAGGAGGCCAAAGATCGGATCAGAAATTTAGAGGTAATAATTTGTAATTTTATTAAAGCTCAGCAAGTCTACACATTTTCGTTTCATTGTACATACATGGAAAATCCTAGGTAGAACTCCTCTAAGGGTTGTTATAAAACCGTTGATTGAGGAAGTAGGGGAAGATGCCTAACCTTATGGAAAATAAAAAGACCAATAAATGTTTTCGTCGCCTTAGGAGCGCTCGCGTCATCCATCTCTTTTCCTAAACATGAATTAAATTTTTAAAATGTCAAAAAGATTTCTGTAAATGCATGTCTGCCATGTAAATGCGAAATGGCAACACTGTAGCACAGTATCGCAAGCACCTGAAAATCACCTTTTCTACATTTGAAATCGACGAAAAAATTAACTGATTAGCATAGCTTGAATCGCAAGCATTCCATCGAGGTCTGCGGGTGACGTCATCATTCCTTGCCTTCGGTATTGTGCTCAAAGAGTAGAGCGTGCTGAGCGGAGCCATAACCACGTGACCAGCGAGCGAACAGAGCAGTTGAACGCTGTATCAGAGTGCTCGAAATTTTAATAAACGAACGCGAATGAGCCTGCACCGAGTACACTTTTAAAATAAACGAACGGTAAATTCAAGCTCGGAGAACTCAGATCAAAATACCGAACGCACGGATTATAAGCTACTGATAGTGACGTCACTCGCAGGCCCAGAATTTGATGGAGAGGGCAAAGGGAAGTATGACACAATTGACACATCACATAACCCAGCATACTCGACTATACTTGATTATCCTCGCGAAAAATTGCCTAATAGACCAATATGTTTTTAAAAGAAAAAATTGTTACGCCCCTAGGGTTTTCGACAAATTGAAAATAATTTTTTGATTCATTGCCTAATTTCCCACAAAAAAGGTATCCCCAGTTTTTCTTGTTCCATGTTAAACGTCACGAGATAAAAAATAAAAATCAATGTATTGTTTGGAAAATCTTGTTATTGGATGCACCACTCTGTTGAAAAAATAAGAGTCGCTCTAGGTCCGGTCCTGGAAAAGTGGAACTCAAACGTATTTTCTAGAAAGACGCTTGAAAAAATCCCAAACACTCTCTGAAAATTTGAACAAAATCGCTAAAGGCATTTTGAATCTAGGCAACAAGTCTAAATTTTCCGAAAATCTCAACACCCTGTATTTTCTTAACGAAACGTTTGAGGACAGGGTGTCCGAATTTGGATGGTTTTAATAGGAAACGTCAATTTCTGAGCAAGATACAAAAAAATGAACCCCCCACTCCGAGGCTCAGATTTCTTGAAATTTTGATTGGTGCAAACCGCATTTTGATATCTTCAACCGTTTAGCCGCTAGAGGGCGATTCTCGATTTTGAGCAATACTATGTGAAATCTTCATAACTTTTTTGCTTATGAAAATAACTGATTTCCGTAAAAACTTCCTAGAAGCACTTTTTTAAGCAGAATTCAGTGACGTTTTCAGTTTTTTTCTATTGGGCCTCGGTTTCAATATATTGACCAAAATCCAATTTTTTTCAATGGGACACCCTATATATTAATAGCTCTTTAGAAAGCTCTGCTTTTGCTGATTTCAATGATACAAATTTCGATGGGTTTATCTCTAACAGTTTTCCAGAAAAAAAATTATTTTGGTTTTTGTCATAAGAAACAATGAGTTAGAAAGAGACCTTTCTCATTTTCCTTACAAAAATAAAGACCTGTTTTAACACATGGTTTCTTATGGAAAAAAAACGAAAAAATCTTTTTTTTTTCGAAAACTGTTAGAGGTAAACCTATCGAAATTTATATCATTGAAATCAGGAAAAGCAAAGCTTTTAAGAGAGCTATTAATATATAAGGTGCCCCATTGAAAAAAATCGGATTTTGGTCAATATCTTGAAATCGAGGCCCAATAGAAAAAAACTGAAAACGTCACTGAATTCTGCTTGAAAAAGTGCCTTTACGAAGTTTTTACAGAAATCAGTTATTTTTATAAACAAAAAAGTTATGAAGATTTCACAGTATTGCTCAAAATCGAGAATCGCCCTCTAGCGGCTAAACGGTTGAAGATTTCAAAATGCGGTTTGCACCAATCAAAATTTCAAGAAATTTGAGCCTCGGAGTGGGGGGGTTCATTTTTTTGTATCTTGCTCAGAAATTGACGTTTCCTATTAAAACCATCCAAATTCGGACACCCTGTACAGTTGCGATCAAAAAAAAGTAGTACAAGAAAAATCTCCATAATTTCCTGGTCTATTATACATTAATTCAATTCATAACCAAAAATGACATATTTTTGGCATTTTTTGACAACTTTTTAACCTGGAAAGCTTCAGATGACATTATTTTGACATTTTTCCACCCGTTTTTAACCTAGAATATGTCATTGCCTGTCAAAATTTTGTATGTTACACCGGAAGCTCAAATTGGGGTTAATAATTTTTGTACTACTTTTTTTTGATCGCAACTGTACCTATGCAAAGAATGATTGTCCTATTGGTACTCTATCTATCATAACAAAATGCTCACTTATTTCGGACTCACCCTGGAGTGCGTTTAGAAATGGAGTGTCAAGGTAGAGTAGTTCTTTGTCAGAGTGATCTGACGTCATCACTTAGAGTGCACTCTGGGTGCGCCTTTTCTGAACGTAATTAATTGGGGTATTGCACTAAATGTCAAAGTCAAACCCGGTAAAAACCTCGGGGCGTTTTTCAACCCAGTCCCTGAGTGGGCTAAGGGCGGGTATTATAAAACTACTGTGAGGAGTTAACTTAAAGTTAACTTCTGGAATTACATGTAATTCAAAAAGTTAACTTTAAGTTAACTGTCAAAGCAGTTTTATAATACCCGCCCTAAATTGGGCACACTCTTGGCACGTCAACTCTCGATTTCTGAACGATTCCAGCGTAAAGCCTAGTACTCATAACTGCGAAATTCGCACTTTTTTGACATTGCTTCCACAAGTTGACGTTTGATACACGCATAAAACATCAAAATGTCGACGCAATGTCAAAAAAATGCGAATTTCGCAGTTATGAGTACTAGGTTTAACGCTCCGAGTAAGCACCTCTTAATTTATAAACGGTTTAGAGTTACTCTAGGGTCACTCTCACACCCAGAGTGCTATTTCTAAACGCAAGCCTGATATATTTGTATTTATAATTTTTGACAAATTTGCACTCATGCGTTTTTAACTGAAAAAAACCCGTGCACTAAAATGCATTCGGGCCAATTTCCCAAAAATTATCGATAATTTAATTTCCATTGCACTGGTTATATTATTACTATTGATAATTCTTGAATTTAATTGTCTTAATTTTTTTTTCAATTTGCCAAAATTATATACTATACTAAAATTCAAAACAAAAGTTAAATTGTAGGTATTTGTGTGTAGGTACCTAATAAATACACACAATAATAAAATCGATTAACTTTCCCCAGAAAGATGAGAAATTCCTTGAGACCTGGCAACGCTGTTTAACAACAAGAACACGATTCTACATTATGCTGTTTAAATATTTTGAGACCCCTCAATCCCTCTCATGTCCTCTCATTCGCCCATCGGTCGTTGTTTAGACAAAATGCCATACATTTGTTGGTGGCAGCACCAATCAATGATGTGTTTTCCGACATCAACCGTCGCCGAAAAAAGACGGGAGATGGTATCTGCATTCATTTGAGAAAGATGGGAATAATTTTTGTCGCAAGCCACGATTATTTCTATAGAGGTTAGGCATCTTCCTCTACTTCCTCAATCAACGATAAAACTGAAAACGAAATTCACTCAATGTTTTTACTTTGATGTCAATCTTTGTGAATTCCTGTATTCGAATTTAGGTGGATGCTCGGAACACTTGGTAGTTTGTTGATTGTGGTTTGTAGATTGGCTTAGCACACCCGGGAAGTTTGGTAACTGGGGAGTAAGAACCACTGTTGGATTAATACTGATTTTTATCAAATAATTAACAATTATTTCTATACAAAAAATGCAACTTTAATAAACGTCATGAACAATGGTGGTTAATTGAGAAGAATAAATCACTGACAAAAATCTGTTGTGTGCTCCACATCGAAAGATTTGGTAATTAAACTTTTGATGACGCTGCGTCTACTATAGATCATAGTTATTGCCTATGTTTACTGGTGACCCTCTGGCGGTGTGTTGGTGTCAATGACCTAGGAGTATACCTGGAGGCTAATAATTAATTAATTTGTAATGATTTTGATAGATATAATTTAGGGCTTTTTTATGACTAAATTGTGAATTAAGACAATCTTCAAGATCGCTTCTCACCAATTATTATTCATTTCTTGCGTTGAAAATGGCTCCTTTTCTCTCACACTTATAAAAATAACCGTTCACGTTTTTTAGTCTCTGCAAATGAACCGTCAAGAAACGTATGGCTAAGCGGCCCCGAACAAAATGTAGAATCAAGCATATCGCCTAGGCCACTCAAAAAAATTGGTGCAAATTTGAAAAATTCGAAAAAATCACTCAAGCAAGATCTTCTAGAGTCGCCGCCTGAAAGCCCTATACAAATGACGAAAAGAAAGTGAAAAAATCATGCTTCTATACCAATGCATTTAAAGTTAGGCTGAAGATTTGAAAAGGCAAAGAATATGAATTTTTCAAATCACTTGTTACAATCAAAGTACAACAAAAATTGTATTGATTTTAGTTTGCTATTGCAATCGTTTTAAAATTTATTGGATTTTTAATGAAGTTACAAACGTTCATAGGTATTAGCCTGTAAGAAAAACACCAAACTTGGTCTAATTATATTTTGTTAAGTCATACATTATATTTAAACATGTTGTAATAATAGTACTAACTTAAGCCCTAAAAAAAATTACCCTAAAAGTTTAATTTTATTTAAATTTTTCTACTTTTGTGACTGTTATATTTTATTTTGTTTTTTTTTTTAATGATGCATATTTTCTTATATTAATGTTTAAAATTATTGTTATTTATTATTAACTATTATTTATTTCTAGTAGTAACCCTCTAATAACTTCGTCCTTAATTTTTTTGCATTTATTTTCCATAAATAAAATTATGTATGTCAGTATTAAGACTGCTTAATGCACCATGAAAATACGTTTTACAGTGAATTTTTATAAGCGAATATACAATGAATCTCGGTATTGGGGGATTTTGGTATTTTTAATTATTATTAATCTACTTGCCAGATCAGTTCAAGAAATTTTAGGTCATTTTTGTTCCGTCCGAAAATATTTGATTGTTTTTCATTTGGATCTTAAAACGAAGGTGTATTCGCTAATAACAGTATTAATTTATTTTGTCGTTTATTGAATTCTATGATTAAAAATTAATCATCAGAATGTATAGTACTTACATTATTGAAAGCTTTATAAAGGTAGTATGTAATAAAATAAAAACTCTTTTCACCAGATTTTGTTTTTATTTATTGGAAATAAGTTTCTGTCTGACTAATCATGTCATCAGTGAAACCGATGAAGCTATTGTTTCTTCTATTTAGAATATCTCTTCACTTTTAGGCACTATAGAGGTAAAGTTCGAGTAAGACTTGTTTAAGGTATTCTCTTTGATTCTTAAGAGCTTCTAGTGTCTTCTATCTACAGGGCCGCCGCTAGGGTGTTAGCCGCCTGTGTGCAAAGACAATTTTCGCCGCCTTACTCCCATCTAAGTACAAAACTTTAATGTATGAGGACCTTGGTAAAGACGAAGGAAGGATCACACAAAAGGAAGACGTGCATCTGTAGGGACGTCACAAAGGTATCGGCGCTTGACAATAATAGTTTATAATCCTTGGTTTGTGCGTCAATCGTTCGTCGGCTGTCATTGTCATTGGCTGTCTCTCTCCGTCCCTCTACGTTATATTTTTTTTTTCTGTCTTGTGTAACGAAATTTGCTAAAACGTAATGCGTCTTTCAGATAACTCTCCATTCTCGACCAAATATCAGACCTCCTCCTGAGAAGTTTTACTTCAAAAAATCGAGTTTTCATAGGGTTGAATACTGATTTCAAAATCTTTAAACCTCGATTGCTCGATAACCGTTGAGCAAATTACATTGATATTTCCAGCATTTGTAGCTCTTATTTTATTAAGCTGTAAGTGGCATGTAATTTATATACAGTATTCCCAGATAGTTTTTGAGCAAATCAAGTTTTTGACAAAATTTAGACTAAAAGTCAACTTTAAGGCTCAATTGCTCAAAAACTATTTGAGCTATCGATCTCAATTTTGCACAGATTTTTAGAGAATTTAATGCTTTTTCCAATGCTGTACAATTTATTTCAATTTGCTCGAAATTTAACAAAGATAGGGGTAATTTAAGCAGAATTCCATTTAAATTATGAGAAATGTTAAAGAAATTATGCGAAATTATATTGTAATTATATTGGAATTATGTGAAATTTGATAGAAATTATGCAAAAATATATTGTTTTTTTTTTTTTGGAATTTCCAGTTATGACATGGAATTCCATTTAATTTCAATGAAATATCTGAGAAATGACGACAAATTTCAAAAATGTTAAATTTTAGCAATTATGCGGAATTCCATAGAAATTATGCGGAATTTCCTAAAATTTACGCGGAATTCCATTGAAATTAAATAGAATTTCAAATAGGTATGCTAAATTCCATCAAAATAATGCGGAATTCAAGTGAAATTAAGAGAGTAATGACGTGGAATTCCAAAGAAAAAAATGATTAATTTTAGAAAAATTACATGGAATTCTATAGGAATTTTGCAAAATTCTATAGAAATTATGCGAAAATTTATAGAAATTATGCGAAATTTCAGTAAAATAAAATGGAATTAAATGAAATTCCGTAAAAAATATGCAAAATTGTATTGAAATTATGCGAAATCCCGTACTAACTATGAAGAATTCCATTAAAATTATGCTGAATACCATGGAAATGATGCCTAATTTTATGCAAAGTATGCAGAATTTCATTGAATATATGCCAAATCCCATTAAAATTATGCGGAATTCTAGTGAAATTAAATGGAAAACGACATAGAATTCCAAAAAAAGGCTTTGAGTTTCTACCTGGAATTCCGATGAAATTCCATTAATTTTCCTGGAATTCTAGAAAATTCCTGTAAAAATTACATGAAATTTTAAATAATTCTTGTGAAATTATTCAGTGGAATTCCGATAAAATTATGTGGAAATTCGAAAAAATTCCAATGAAATTCCATCTATTTTCCGGAAATTCCACGTAACGTACGACGAAATTTTCCGAGTATTCGACTCAATGCCTCCGGAATTTTAAGTTGTTCTCGTGAAATTCCAGAAAATTCCCATGAAATTCCAAAAATTACGTGGAATTTTCACTACTTTTCAAAAAAATAAAATCCTGTAGAATTACATGGAATCCTTATAAAATTCCAAAAAAAAAAATTTGTAAAGTTACTGGTAATTTCAGTGGAGTTTTGAAGAATTTCTATGGTATCACTTGAAATTCTCGTAAAATTGAAAGAAAAAATCGCAAATATTTCCGTAAATTACATAAAATTCTTGTGAAATAACTTGAATTTTTTATTGAATTCCCAAGAATTCTCGTGAAATTACATGGAATTCCCGTGGAATAACTCAAAATTTAGGTGAAATTCTGATTCTGAAGTAATATGAAATTCTCGTGAAATTCCGAAAAGTTCTTGTGAAAATACTTAATACTTTAGCAATATTCCTGTGGAGTAAATCGGAATTTTAGTGGAATATAAAAAAAAATGTGAAATTTCAGAAAATTTCTTTAAAGTTGCTTGGAATTCCCATGGAATTGAAAAAAACTCTTCCTACGGAATACCTATAAATTCCATAAAATTTCCATGAAATAATTAATGTACCTACTTGAAATTTCATTGAAAGTCCGAAAAAATCCTGTAAAATTACTCGAAATTCCAAAAAATTCTTCTGAAATTTCTTAGGTAATTTTACTAAAATAAAAACTTGAACTTCTCCTGAAATTATTTGGAATTCTAGCAAAATTTGAATAAATTCCTGTGAAATAAATCAAAAGGAACTACCTACATATTTAAAAAATCGTATAAATAATTATGAAATTCCAAAAAAAAAAATCGTGAAATTATTTTTTTAATTTCAGCAAAATTCCAAGGAATTTTTATGAAATAACTCAGAATTTCAGTGGAATTCCAAAAAAATTTACATAAAATGACCTCAAATACTCATGAACTATCAAAAATTAATTTGTGAAACTACATGGAATTCCAAAGAATTCCTGTGAAAATACAGAAAATTTCTTCAGAAAATTCCTATGAACATTCCTGGAACATTCTACGAACATTCCCGGAACATTCTATAAACATTCCCGAATATTCTTCGAAAATTTTCCAAAAAAAAAAAACATGTTGAAGCATTCCTGAAACATTCTATAAACATTCTTGGAACATTTTATAAACATTTCTAAAATATTCATTGCAAATTTTTCAAAAAAAAAAATAAATATGTTGAAACATTTTTAGAACCTTATATAAACATTCCTAAAATAGACGAATTATTTCAAAAATATTTTAAAGTATTTTTGTATTGATAGGACATTCTACGAACATTCCATAAACATTCCTGGAAGGGTACCCCCTTTGAATTCTAATTTCAAAATTTTCTAACCTCAATTGCTCGGTAACCGTTGAGCAAATTGCATTAGGCAATTCAAACCACGTGATATTCAAGATGGCGTGGCGGCCACACATGGGCCAAAAAACACAAAAAAATATTTAGTTTCTGCCCGATTTGATAGTTTAGGTACATAGTCAACAAATATTTTATTAAGTTATCAAAATAAAAGTTGCCGGCAAAACCATAAGCAAAATAATTAAAAATACGCGTAAAAACATATTCAAAACAAACTTGCTTGGCCGCCACGCCACATTGAATTTTCTTTTTTGACAGATGGATTGAATTGCCTAATTGAAATTTTCAGAATTTGTAAATTTTATTAAGCTCTAAATGGCCTGTAATTTACAATATTCCCAAGCTTATAGTTTTTGAGCAAATTGAGTTTGAAGCTTTTAACAAAATTTAGACTGAAAGTCAACTTTGACGGTCAATTGCTCAAAAACTAGTTGAGCTATCGAACCTAATTTTACACTAACAGAGCTGGGCAAGCTACTTGAAAAAAGTAGCTATAGCTACAAGTTTCAAGCTACTATATATTGTAAGTAGTTAAGTTACTTAGTAAGTTACTTAGTAACTTAACTACCTCTTTGAAAAAGTAGCTAAGCTATTGGTAACTTAACTACATTTTAAATTAGTTGAAAGCTACTTTTTAAGCTACATTTTCAAAAGTTAAATTAAATTAATGAAAACAAAAATCAATCAAATTATAGAAGGTTTTTATATTCTTTCCAAACCAAAGTCTGAAAACTGAATAGGCGGGGATTATAATAATAAACAACTGTGGTGGCGTGGCGTGGCGCTGATTCCAGTCACTCCAAACATAAAAATGCCAAAAGGCAAAAATTGCAACGTCGCATATAAATTGTTTTGAGGCTCCCACCAAGCTCTTATTCATAGATTTATATTTCTCTTTCGTGCGCACCGTGCCGAAGAAATGCGGTGAAATTCAAATCGGCAATCCTCGTTCGTCGTCGGAACACACTGAACCATAGGCGTATCAAGGGGGGGGGGCTGCCGGGCTGCAGCCCCCCCCCAAGGCAAGTCCAGACAATTTTTTTCCCAGCGATTTTATGTGACATTTACATTTTTTGTATAAAAAAAATATAAATAAAATTAATTTCTTTCCATAATAAGGGTTTTCTATGGCGAGCGCGTAATGCAGCAAGAGAATCAGTGCTTCATCTTAATCATCCTGAATGTCCGAAATACTTCCTTTCTCAGGGGCCCGATTCTCGTCTCAGGGTGTAAAGCAGTAGAGCTCCCCGATAGAACGTATGTTTTGTCCTTGCCAACGTAATCGAAAAGTAAAAGAGAATGATAAAGACGAAAAATTTGTTCTCTCGGGGAGCTCTACTCCTGCGTCCTTATTCTTGAAACAGGGGAGCAGCGTACTCAGGAGAAGGAGTGTTCTGTCTTTCTCAATGATATGCAACTGATAATATAAGTAACAAAGACGGAACACTCGTTCTTCTGGGAACGCTAGCTGCTCCCTTGTTTCAAGAATAAGGACCAGGAGACGAGAATCGAACCCCAGAGATGGGACTCTTTAACGAATAGAGATATTTTCCCTATCTCTCCCGATGCGAAAATTTTTGTCGACCTGCAAAACAAAATAGGCACGTAACATTTGAGTATGTTACAGGTGAATTTCTGACAAAAATAGGCAACATTCACATTTTTAAATTAATCTGTCAGTCTTTCTGATAACGACTGTATACTTTTTTTTCCAAAAAAAAAAACTTTCAGTTTTGAAAATTAAATGATTTGAAAAACGAATTTTCAAACTGCTGCGAAAACGCCGGATAGGAAAGGGACGTCACTTTTTCAAACATGCGAGGATGCCGAAGTTCTCATTTTTGTAAACCATTCCAAAATATGGCTGATAAAAAAGTAGGTACTTAGAACCTATGACCTATTTTCGTCCTTTACTACTTCATAAAAAAAGAAAGTATTGGTATAATTTGTGAACTCTGGCTACCTAGTAACATGATGCTAAAATATTTCGTCATTTCTAATGTGGCAACATGCGCATGAATGATTTAGTCAATGAGAGGCACGTTAAAATGGACTATACGCAGCTTTTTTTTTTTTTTTGGTCAACACTTTTTGTTAACAGAGCCCCCCCCCCCCCCCCCAAACCAAAATCCTGGATACGCCAATGCACTGAACACAGTGCCGTAGCGTAGAGAACAGTGTCATAGT